GAAGGTTATTTGGAGTTAGGGTCAGAATGAGGCTCAGATTAAGGTTAGGGTTAGGATTAGGATTGGACAAGTATTTGTAATATTCAAGGTTTGTGTAAAAGGACAGAGAGTGCATTATACTGTATGTGAAGTGATAAACCAGTGAGTGTGTGTGTGTGTGTGTGTGTGTGTGTGTGTGTGTGTGTGTGTGTGTGTGTGTGTGTGTGTGCGTGTTCTCAGAAACATCTGTCCGTCACTAATTCACATTCTTCTCTGCCAGGACACACACACATTTCCCTTCTGACTCCTCCTGCTTCCAGTTGCAGTGTCAGCAGTTTTATCATTCACACTCGCCCCCACAGCCCCCCCCACACACAACCCTCACACACACACACACACACACAAACATATCGTAAACCTCTGACCAGAAGAATTTGTGGGAGACATTTGTGGTTTTTTATTACTTCTGCAGTTTTATAGTCGGCTCCACCTGGGTGTTGTCTGTGGTATTTCTTCTGTGGTGGTTTTGTGAGCATGTAGTGCCCCTTTCTCCCCTGTAGGTGGTGTCATGAAATTGTGTGCATATATATATATATATATATATATATATATATAAAGTTTGAAAAAAAAACATACAGTGTCAGTTCTGAGTACTCTACTTCCCTTTCTAAAATAAACTTGCATTAAGTGTTGGGGAAACACAGAGCTACCACTCTGGGCGTGTTTTGTGTTATTTTTATCAAGTAATTTTTCCACCAATAGAATTTCAGCTCCCAGTGCTGTTGATGATTTAGCTGCAGCTGTTGATGATTTTTTTTTTTCATCTGCTGATCACAGGATTGATATTTCACACACCGCTGACAGTTCTTAGCTTCACCAGCAGGTGGTGATTTAATGGACACATTTAACCTTGATTAATAATTTAGGGAGTCTTCAGGGTTCTATTCTCTCTGGGTGAGATAGCTATAGATTATTGTCATAACATCACCTCTGCGTTATTTTCAGCCTTGACTGGAGATGGACAAAATAGAAAATTTGATTTTTTAAAAATATTTTTAAGGACAAGTAGGTTAGAAATAAGTAAAATTTAAATACTCACGTTTATAACAATGCATTTTTTATAATCTATTTTTGTGCTGTGAGTTATGTGAAAAAATTATATATAGTTCGTTTGTTTTCTGTTAAATATTGTCTACTTTCTTCTAGTCATTGATAATCTGTAAATTATGTTTTTTCTCATGATTATTTATTAAAATTACCTAATTATTGAGTAATAATGATAATAATAGCAATAATAATAACAAAAACAACAATCATGATAATTATAATTTGTAATTAATATTATTAATAAAAATAAGGTATAATAATAATAGTTTTATTATTATTAATCCTATTAGTATTTGGAAGTGAATACAATCATATTCAGTGTATTTTAACTCATTATATTATTAATTATAATGTGTTAATTATCAGTGGATGGCTTGATTCCATTCATTCTCTTCTTTAATGTTCAGCCAATCTCACTGACATCAGGTCATTGGACGAAGTATTGACCCGGTCAGTCTGCTGTCAGCATGAAAAACAGCACGAAGGTCGTTTGGTGACACTTCATATCATCAAACTGTCCTGTGGGAGGAGAGGGAGTGAAGATGAGAGGGAGCGTGTGCATAATAATAAAATCAAAATGACCACAATTCCTCTAACACGCCCGCTTTTCTACAATAAAATCCAAAGTCTACTTTAACCTCCTCCCACCCATATAGGTAGTTAAATTGATGAAATTACCTGAGTGATCAGTGGGTTCATGTTCTAGAGTCACGTGCTTAAAGAAAGGTGAGGAAGTTCTCTGCCCCCCTTTTAACCTGAAGGAGAATTTATGACTCGGTTCCAGACCTGCACCTAACCCCACCAGAGACCGCCCTCCTCTGGTTGGTCGGTTCTTTTTATATTTTATCAGTTTTAAAATGTCTAGACGAGGTTTTGCATGTACTGTATTCAGCAGATCCAGACTCGGAGTGTGCAGCGTCCACTCTGGCTTATAGTAAAGAGTACTGCCTGCTATTGTCTGTTGGCTTCTCCACGCCACCTACTGGTCAAATGAGACTGTGGTGGGCAATTAATGGGAAACACTGACCCTTTTACCAGTAGAATGGGATGTAAAATAGTAAATGTGCAAAAATAGACTATTGTTAATGTATTTAAACTAACACAGTCTTTGATTTATAGTTAAATGATATGATTATTATGAAGGTCAGAAGGTCAACAGAAGATGTGTGAATGTATGAGTCAAAGTGTGAGAGGACTGTGTGGTGGACAGAGACGGAGTATTAATGTCTCTGAAAGCTTTGACCCACTTCCTTCCCTCCTCCTCCTCCTCTTCCTCCCCACTCACCTAAACACTGCAGACGTAGCATCTCCGCCTCGATCTGCTGATGAAGCTGAACGCACTGGGTGTGTCTGTGGCTCGGTGTGTTTTATGTTGTCCTGATTTTGCTGCAAGGTCACATACTGTGTGTGTGGGGAGAGAGTGGGGGGGGCGACTGTACCGTACTGTACTGTACTGTACTGTGTTCGTCTGTTCAGAGACTAGTTAAGGTCGTCATGTACTGTGCTAGTTGTCACTTTACCACCCTGCTGTGTTGCGGTGGAGTACATGCTGAGTTTGTAGAACGCACGTACAGCGGCTGCTGTACTGCAGTGACGCAAGTACTGACCTTAAAAAAAGAAAATATAAAAATGTAGTTGATAAAAGTGTTAGAAAAGGTTTATGTGACTAAAATATTGGATGTTTTTTTTTCTCCTCCTTCAGCCACTGAAGCCTCTCCACTGTCACACCTCAGAATAAACACAGCTGAATTTACACTGATGACAGTGAGGCTCTGCTCTGAGGCCCAGACAATCACTTAGACATGACACAGAGAGTTAGAGCCAGTACGTACCAGCCACACACACACACACACACACACAAGCCTGCCTGTGCAGTGCATCACTAATGCATCCATGTTTACACTGCACAGGAGATTTGCACAGTTTCTAAATTTATAGCCGGATGTGGGGCACGATGGACGATGTCGGTGAAAATGTTTCGAGAGTCTATCTGTGGTTTATTTTCACCTTATCCCTACTATTTAAATGCACATCGACAGACTTTACAGTTTTCTACTTCTGGTACTTTAAGTGTGGTTGACGTTGAACCTGTAGGCTAGGCTAGCGTCTGTGGTGCGGTGAGAGGTCGTATTAGGGTCAGACAATATGGTAAATAGTCGGTGTCTTTGTCTTGACGATTTATTCAAACCTCAAAATGACAGTCAGTCAGTGTGCCTCACCCCTTAATATTGACAGGATGGATGAATGACATGACGTTGAGGCCAGAGGTTAGCTACAGTACAGTGAGCCTGTCAATGGCTTTGTCTTTCAGTAAAGCAATAATCCTTAGAATATGAAAGAAATCCCTAAATTTTAATACAGTGGTCCCTCTCTATATCACAGTTCTCCTTTCGCTCCCTCAGTACATCGCAAAAAATAAACTAACAGACATTATAAAAAAAGGATATAGGAAAGGGTAATACAGTCTGGAGAGGGCTGATAACAGTGTGGGGGAGGTTAGTAAAGGGTAAGTATATATGTCAATAATATAATAACTATCTCACCTCTACTTTGCGATTTTTCTCTTTTCGCGGTGGGTCTTGGAACGCAACTACCGCGATAGAAGAGGGATCACTGTATTTACTTTTCCATCATAATTACTTCAGATTGATAATTACATGCCATGTTGAGTTTTCTTCTGATATAATGTGTTATTTTTCTACTGAGTCACTGTGGAGAGTCCACTGTTGTAGTTGACCACAGTGAAGATCTGTTTGTTTAAAGACTATCAATCATTGTCGTGACGTCATTCAGTCTGTCTCACTTCAGTCTGCTGACGGACACAGACGTTTGTTGTCATGGTGACAACAGGAGGGTTAAAGTCAGGTTTGGCACTTCGACAAGGTAATAAAGTATCATCAAGGACGGGGACACTGTGGATGTGGATCTGTGGTGTTTCAGCCTCTAACCGTATTATCCAGTTTAATCTGCTGTGTCAGTCGTCATCAACCACAGGTCGTCTGAGGAGTTGCAGCTCTGCATCGTTTTCCCAGCACTGGTTGCGTGACATTGACCACAGTGTCTGAGCTGGATGGAGCCGCTCAGACACTGTGAATTTCCCCACCGTGGGACGATTAAAGGACTTCTTATCTCTTCTTATCGTACTGACTAAAACAGACCATGTTGAGAAATATCATTAGAAGCAGACGCAGCGTAGCTCATATATTTGGCATTAATACTGAGAGGTGTCTCACGTACTCTTTACTTAAAAGAAGTCAAACTGTGCAGGTTAGCACGTCAACGTATGAATGTCGACCATTCGTTGTTCTTTGATATGCTAAAAGCTAACACATGAGACCGTTTTCGTAAGTAGCAGAAATATTGGTAAAAAAAAAACAAAATGTAAAGTTTCATGACTAGCTAAAGTGACTAGTTAATGATTAGTTAAAGTGAGTAGTTAATGACTAGTTAAATTTGATTTAGTCAGAATCCAAATGTAGTCAATAGAGTAGTTTTAATTTAAATTTAGTTTTAGTCAATAAAATAACACAATTATTTTAGTTATTTTTTAAATTTGATTTAGTTTATTTTACCAAAATAAAATGTTTTATTTTTATTTTTAGAATACCAACTGAACTGTTTCAGTTATGAATCATGCATAAATAAACTTCATCATCGTCATTAGTTTTCGTCTGAGAAAACAAGGTCGTTGTCTGAGTCTAAGTCCATAATTAAAAGTCGACAAAATACCACTAATGACAGCAGAACATATTAGATGTCAATCAAAATATATTGTTTTAAATCTGCCAGTGGCTCCATTCTAACCCAAGTTTCTTTATGTTGTGGTAAAGAAAACCTCATGATGTCAGTATTGAGTTCCATGATAACTAGCTTGTCTAAGTTGTTGACTGTCTCTCTGCACTGTTTCTAACCAGATGCTGTCGGTGCAGTGCGTCACTGTCACACTGGTACTATGAAAAGGATGGACAGCTCTTCTGTAAGAAGGACTACTGGGCCAAATATGGGGAACTGTGCCACGGCTGCAACGACCCAATCAGCACCGGCCTCATCATGGTAAGAAGATCCGTCCAGAGAAACTCATTTCTCCTCACCTCTTTGTCTCTTTGTCCCCCGGTCAAACCTCGAGTTACAGCCGTGTTTCATTCACAGCCTCAGGCTGACGCACACATGCTGTACATGTCGGACCAGTGCCAGACCTGTAACTGACCCGTTTGGTCTGGTACTGTTCCAGGATCGTCAGGGACCGTCAGGGCTGTAGTTGAGGGACAGGACATGTGAATCGATTTGTCTCCTGCAGTGACAGAAGAACAACGCAGCAGAGCTGGGTCTATTCACAGATTAGTCGTCAACATTAAAACAGTTTGACAGTGAATTTCTTTGCCATGAAATAAGTCTTTATGTTCTTAGAACTTCACATCCAGACTCAAGGGTCAGAAATGTCAACACAAATAGGGAAGGTCTGAAGTTTATGGTACAGTTAAATGGCAGGATATTCTGTGTCAGAAGACGACAGTTCACTGGCTATTTCCAAGCAAGTTCCATGAGGAAGGAAAATAATAGTATTATTACTTCCAACCAGGAACCATTTATTTATTTATTTTATTTTTTATTAATTCCTGATGCATTCCTGAAGTATTTCAGTTCTCCAGTTTTTTATATGAATAAGTAAATAACTTATTTCAATAGATATTCATCTGAAATATCAAATAGTTGCCAACAGTTTTTTGTTAGAAAAAAATAAATATCTTCATCTACAGTATCCATCCATCCACCCATCCATCCATCCATCCATCCACCCACCCACCCATCCATCCATCCACCCATCCATCCACCCATCCATCCATCCACCCACCCACCCATCCATCCAACCACCCATCCATCCACCCATCCATCCATCCATCCATCCATCCATCCACCCATCCATCCATCCACCCACCCACCCATCCATCCAACCACCCATCCATCCACCCATCCATCCATCCACCCATCCACCCATCCATCCACCCATCCATCCATCCTCTCTGCTCCTCCTAATCCTCAGGTCAGACTCTGAAAGACTCCTGTGTCGGAGTTACAATGAGCAGAATTATTCATAGGTAGGCTCTGAATCACTGCGTGTGTGTGATATACAGTACATTCTTTACAGTGGCTCCTAACACCCCCCACCCTACCCTTTATAGTCCAATCTCAGTAATGAAACATAAAGGAGACTCTTACGTGAATTGATGGAGAAAACGCTGCGTCTCTTCTTTTCTTTGTCTCTGAACTTTCATGGTTCAAATCAACGGATGGACCCAATCTGATTTTTCACTAAAGTAAATCTGCAATAAATCTGTCACTCTTCCCTCTTGGCCAGTGCAGTGGCGTTCACTTGTGAACCACACCTAGGGCAGGACAGGCAGTGGGCAGTCAGAGTCGGAGTCCTATTTTTAACCCCCACTGCTGTCAGTGTCATTGAGCGGCCGCAGCAGTGAGTCTGGGCCTGGAGACAGAGACTGATGGATACATCCACTGAATAGGGACAATAAATTAGGCCTTATCCCCTAACTGTCAGCCAGAGGGCAGTAGATGGCTCGATGGAGAGACATCACTGTGAGTGGCTGTTCAGCTGCAGGCAAGTTAAACAGAAGAAGACACACCAACCATGAGGGACACTGGGTTCAAACACCAAGTGTCTGGACCAGGCGTATACAGTACTCCCTTATTTATATACAGTACTTCTCTTAACTGTACCTTAGTTGAGGGTTATGTATTTTGTGTACTGTAATAGTAATAGTGAAGTAAATAATAAAGTAGTCTTTTTTAAACGTGTTTTGATTTTGCAAAACGTGAAGCTGATACAGTCTTAAAACTTGCAGATTGGGGATTAGTTTTATCAAATGAGTGATTCTTTAACCATGGGGCCGTGGCCACACCTGGGACTCCAGCGCCACCTGGAGGGCTGCAAATAACTTTCAGTTTTGCACCTGTGGGCCACAAGGGCCGCAGAACTGCATAGTTTATCAACTGAAGACAACTTATCCAGCACAGTTACAATGCCACGTTTGACCACATGGCGACAGTAATGCATCGGTTAGGTCTTTAACAAGCACCAATATACAGTATGTACAGAGACTAAGACCATCTACTCTAGGCTAGCCATAGCAAAAAGTATGGGGATGTTTTTTAAAAATAAACCACCCTCAAAAGATACATTTTTTGCGTAGGTACAATCCCAACTTCAAAAATGATTTATGGTTTCATTGTTGTAAAAGAACAATAATGTAATTAGGTTACGAAATAAAGAACTTTCTCAAGGTTTGCTGCCAAACTAATGGAAAGTCCCAGCTGAGTTCATCGTCTCCCACTGCTGTGAAGTCACTCTGTCTCTAAGTGATCTTTTTTTTTGTAAACGCCTGAGGATTTTCAGTGTCAGTGAAGCCACACATGATAAATGTGGTGAAATGTTATTTGTTAAGAACCACTTGTTTTCTTTTCAGTAACTGGATCAGCTGTTGATGATGTCATCAGTTACAACAGTCAGTGTGGAAACAACACTAATGAAAATGTTTTGCACAATATTTGGGAGTAGAGTGTGTTATTTATACTGCATTTGAAGTACCTCGCAGTGGGGGAGGTACTTCCAGAGGACGATACACCGACCAGAGAATGATGCCTTGCTTAAGGACACTGGAGAATGGGGTGTTACAGGAACGTAGTGTGAGTGGAAACAATGTTGAAAACAGGTTTTCTACATAGTTTTACTTTTAGTCCCTCGTCTCTCCACTCCATGTTGTTTGTAGAGATCCCACTGATCTGTGTGCCACGATGTTGGTGTGAAACATGACAGCCAAGTTAGTTAAACAAAGCTTTGATACAGGATAATTGATGAAGAATATTTTTAATAGGAGTTGATCAATTGATTAATTTTTTCAATCCAAATACATTTATCTACTCTCAGTAGATTATTTAACATTATTTATTTGACTAAGATCACACTACAACTACTACAAATGGATTTCACTCTAATTTCTTCTTTGTTTTTTTGATGCAGAATACATTCACTGTAGTACTATAGTCATCGCTCTCCTCTGTGGTTGAGGATAACATTAATGACAGGTCTGAAGGGCTCACTGTGGAGTTACATCTTAACCTTGGCCATGACTTCACCCTTTGGTGTCAGAGTCTGAGTGAAGCCTCAGTCGGAGAACCGTTTCCCCACAAACCATATTTCTGTTGACGCTGCTCCACGGCCTGATCCCCGAGGCAGTTCATGGAACGCGTCTATTATTATCCCCACACTTGCTGCTCTCCAGAGCCAGCTTGTTGTGGCGAAAGGGTCAGCAACCGCTCGGTATGCAAGACGTGTGAGGGAAAGAAACAAAGTGAGGCAACAAGGACAAGTGGGAGAGTGACACAGCAGGAAAAGTGAAGCAGCAAGAAGAGCTGCAGAAGAAGAAGAAAAAAACGATCAAACAAACGGGTCATGGCACTTAAACCTGTGTTAACTTTTCTTTGAATATCCAACAGCACGGTGTATATATACATATACATATACTGTATATCTATATATGTATCTACATATATAGATATATTTATATACACAATATATTAAAGCAATGACAAAATACTTGAAATAATAATTTGAAATAATGATTACTTAATTGTTAAACTAATGTCAATTTGTAGCATGTGCTACATGTAGCATTTTCACACATGTGTCAAAAAACACGTGATAAGTAATAATTAAAAAGAATTGTTTGACATTATACAGGACCTTTTAATGAATTGTTATCATAATTGGATTGTGTGGAGAAGCTGAACTTCTTCTCCAACATTCTGTTTGTACCAAACAACATTGTGACCAAACTGTTTTGGTTTCAAAATGTGACTGTTTCGTGGAAGAACAGTGAAGGAGAGGAATTTATCAGAGACACCACGGGGTAGGGATGGGGGGAGGGGGGGCGGCTGCCAGCCAGTGTGTGTTTGCCAGAGGGGGCGGGGCCAAACAGGAAACGATGAGGTCATAGTTAAAGTGAGAGAGAGGAGTGTTGGGCAGAGAGTCAGTGATACAGCGATGAGCTCAGCTGCACAGGCGTGGGCCATATCCTCCCTCTCCTCCTCCCTCCCTCCCTCCCTATCTCACTGCCTGCCTACCTCCCTCCCTCTGTAAACCCTGAGTTCTTCCTCTCAGCCAGTGTTGTGGTGACATCAGGGAACCGGCTGCTGCACTAGAAATGAGCTAGAGGAGCAGGGAGGGACGCCGGCTCTCGCTGACATGGTGGGAGACTTGTTTTTCTGGAGCTTCTGCTGTCTGAGGCTGTGGAAGAGGGACAAGAAGGTGAGGCTTTTCTCATGCTCTGCTGCTGATCCTACTGACGCTGCTGCTGATGGGGGTGATGGTGGTGGTGGTGGTGGTGGTGATGGTGATCCGGGTACGCAGGTGTCCTGGGTGTGATGAACAGCCATGTAAACCGGCGACGAGGCCAAGGATGCCGTGAGTCTGGAGAGGCTGCTGCTCCTCCTGGTCTCCCGGTGCAGATTCTTTTCTATGTGAATGTGAAAATGAAAAAGCACGTAGACACAGTGTGGTGATACACCGGGATGTTTAGCTTGTTTCTCAATATTACGTCTAATATCTGTTCTCCTTTTTCTCCTGCACCGGCTTTTTTTATTTATATTTCATGAAAAACTGATGAGCCATGGCACACTGGCTATTTTTAGAGCAAAGTGGAAGAACGTGAGTGTGTCGAGAGTGTGTTCACATGCAGCAGCCGTCATGTTTAACAGCTGTGGCCCAACAGCAGAGTCACCATGTAAAGGATTTCCTCCTTTCACAGCAGCAGATCAGAGGGCGACTGTTATAGAAAAGGGAACGAAGGCAGTCACAGCTTCGGTCAGGCCCAGGCCTGTGTTCACTGTGGTCTGAGTCTGAAGTAGGAAGGGGTTTTCCGTGCAGAGAGAACATGAATGTGGCTTTCTGTCCTCCAGCATCTCATGCTTTTACTCTAATTGCATGTATTTTAACTGAATCTTCTGCAGCTCGCTTTCTCTCCGTCTTATTTTTTTTCCTAAATCTTTTTGATTTTATTTTTTCTATTTCTGTTTTGAGGCATGTCACGATCATGAATCCTGTCTTTAAGCAGGAACTTCACTTTCAAATCCACATAATTTATACACACTTAAAAACCCAAAACAAAGTTGAGAGTGTAGACATAAACAACAGTCAGATGTAGAACTAACAACTAGAATTAGAAGGGGGAAACAAAATGAAGGTGAAGGTCACAGAAACCAAATGTGTTTTTAAAAGACATTTAAAAAGAGGAAGTGAAAATGTATTTGAAGGAACCATGTTTTCACGGTTTTAATATTTATTTTTAAATTACTTAATCAGGAAAAAACCCTTATTTTAGAAACAACCCAGTTACAGACACAGAACACTGTTGCAAAAATGAAACAAAAACTACAATCACTTCAAGCCTGATGCATCTTGGATCAGTAGACCCCCCCACACACACACACACACACACACACACTCCAAACCTCCTGCAGCAGACTCCAGGCTGCAGGAGCAGCAGGATCAAAGACTGTAGATCCCAGTGGTCTTTGAATGTTTCAAATGAAATGGATGAGAGGAAGGCAGGTGAAGAGTTAAATCTGTTTCAAAACCATTTTTAACTTTTTACCACCAACAGCATTTCCAGGAGCGTCCCTGGAATGTGACCCAGTTGAAGCCCCCTCACTCTGAGGAGTATCAGGTACCGCGTGTGCACGTGTTGTTTTTACTATTTCTTTCAAACATCCTCATGACATCATTTGACCACTCGTTTCCCCGCACTGCGTGTTGATTTGGATGTATCGCTCACAGCTGGACTTTGTTTTGGATTTAATTGATTTAAGGTATTTGTTCCCGTCAAAGCTCAAGTTAACTGGAGCCAGATCTCCTGCTCAGGTGAGGTGAGGTAATCTACGTCATTAAACCAGAATGTGGTGAAGTCATGGAGTCCTGCTGCCGTTTCCAGATGTGGAAGTGAAGGTGTAAATGAGGTCCTCCCAGATAACTGTGATGTCCTAAATATGAAGCAGGTTCCTCTGTGGTTTTGATCTTTGCGTCGTCAGGAGAAGGAGGTTTGATCGCTTCTTTTTTTTCCTCATTCATTCCAGGATAAAAGAACTTGATTTATGGTTGTAATTTCACTCTAATTGGATTTTATTGTAGTCTGGCAGCAGTTAATCTTGATGTCCCAGCAGCCACACTGGTTGGTGTGGTTATGGTGTCGGCTTGGTTGACTGTGTGTGATCCAGTGGATAAAGGTCTCATAAAATGTTGACGGCAACTTTGTAATTAGATATTCAATGAGATTTGTGTGTCACGCATAATTAGACCTCATTTAAGTGGCAAACATCTGTGTGGGTGTCATTTAATTAGTCACTTTGAAACTTGGTTTTATTTCAACAATCAAGACGCTTTGAATACGATACCATGGGTATAGGGAGTTCATGGTGAAATAACACTGAACAAACAGAATCTAATTTCAAAATGTGTCTAAACATTTAACAGCTGACTTCAATTTAATCATTTAAGTTGCTTGACCTCAACCTCAGCTCAGAGAAAGTCAGCATGTGTGACTAATTACCTAAAGGAATGTAAAGAAAGACACCAACCTGTCTCTGACCTGTGGGGTGTCACTGAGTCGTAAATACCTCCAACAGAGGGCCACAAATATAAATCATTGAAATCAAAATAAAAGCTGAAAGGACCTGATGTGCAGAGCAGAACGAAATGGGAGTAAACATTTAGGGGCTTTAATTATTCATCGGATATTGAATTGTATTTTTATTCTTTATTTTTGAGAAAAGCCATAGCCTAGATTTATGACAGAGAGAGCTGTAATGCGAGCTGGACGCAGCATTTCCTGTCCAGGGTGAGGTGAATGTGAAGCCTGGAGGCGTTGAGAATGGATGCGTTTCAATGTAAATCATTTTAACATTTAGTCAAAAGACCTAATGTGTCCGCGGCGGTCTTTAGCCATGGCATCTGAGGAGCAGAGAACTGCAACATGACCCACTTAATCCTGTCCAGTCATCGACCCTCGCTGCCTCCCTCAGGGCAGCCCGTGCACGCACTTTGGTTTCCTACAAGATGAAGAAGAGGAAATCATGAGGCACAGCGAGCGGCTAACACACAGTCACACAGTCACACATTCACGAGCGCGATGAGCTAATCTGCAAATAAAGGGATAAACCCCTACAGGCTTATTCCCAAATACACACACACACACACACACGAGTATTTTCCAAAGAAGCCTCATGATTATTTCACACTTCAAAGAGGAAGCTAGTCCTAAATTTGAATAGAGCAGCTGTTGTCTGTCAAAATTCGATTAGATTCTGTGCATGTACTCAAACACCTTGAACTCAGCACTGCCCCCTAGATGTATTGTTGAACAACCTTGCCAATGTAAAGCAGACGTGGAGGAAGGCAGTGATGAAGCTCATGTACCTGCAGTATTTACAGTGAAAGTGAATGGGGATTTAGGCGTTCACTGAGGAGGAGCTGACCGTGGTGCTGATTTGACCTGTCATTCTTTCTAATCTGAAAACATTTTATGATTCAATGCGAGGAGCATACAGTGTTAGACTACACTATTACACTATTGTTGCACCAGGACACTTCGACCTTGTGCGGACATTTTGGAGGTCTACACCGAGGGAGATTTTGTTTTGTCAAAATGTAGTTTTCAAATAAGGCTAAGGATTGAGTTTAGAGATATATTTACTATAGTAAACATGGAATAGGGAATCCATTATGTAAATGGATACTGGACACACAGCAACACCAGTGTGTGGGTGTGTGTTCACACATACATCTTGGGTGTCATGCTACAAATGGGAGCGACAGGAAAAGAGGACAGCTGGACGGAGATGAAAAGGGCGTGTGGCTTTGCACCACTTGACATGTCGGCTGCCATTTGCCTGCTATGCAGTCTCACACACACACACTGGATCCCAGAGTAAGTTTAAATCTTCCTGTGGTGTCATTTAGCCCTCCGTCTTTTCTGACAGGCGTTTCCTGCCAGTGCCGGTGTCTGACAGGAACTGTTTATTCCTCTGTTAATGAGACAGACTGCAGAACATAGAAACACATTTATGGTTAGCTCTCTCTGTTTGCTGTTATCGACCCATGTTATCATCACGGCCATTAAAATTACATGTAGAATTAAAGGAGGTTTCTGAAATTCTTGCTGATTCTTGCTGTTGTCAACCATTGAAATTCATCCTCATTTTTGATTAAAAAAACCCAGACTTTAACATACAGTCCTGTCCTGTTGTCTTGGAAGCAGCTGCACAGAATAATTACTTAAAAGGCCGGTAATTAAACCAATCACACGGTGTCTTTCACTGCGGGTCCTCAGGCAGCGGTGCCACATGGTTCTGAGTGTGTGTGTGTGTGTGTGTGTGTGTGCCCAGAGCCAACAGACACATGGCTCTAAATAATGATTTTATTGATTCTCGTTTCCTCTGCCTTTTCACCTCATTTTCTTTTGTTTATATTGACATTTGAGAACATGTCTGTCCGAGTCCGGTCCATGACTTATCCCTAACTAAAATGGAAATATGCAGAATATGTTCAGTTTTTCATCTTAATCAAATAATTATATACACACATATGGTATATAATATAATAATATATATGTATATTTTACATTTATACAGTAGTGTCCTATTAGTATGTTATGGGAATTTAGTATATATTATAAATATATTTAGTATATGTAAATGTATATATATATATATATATATATCTACATATGCACTAAGTGTATTTTATTTGTTTGCCTGTTTGTGCTGACATTTTGCAGGTCTACATAAGTAAGATTTTGTTTTGTCCATAGTGAATATGGTTATGTAAATGGGAAGAGCTTAAGAAGACGTAGGTTATATATGTTTTAACAGTGACAGTGTTTGCCAGAGCATATACATTAATGTATTTGAACCCAGTTATATGTTGCGAAGAAGGTTTGAATTAGCATTGAAAATACATAAAAAAGGCCGTTTCACTTGAGGTTCTGCAAGTCAGATTGTTTTCTGGAACACTGAGCAGACATTATTTAAATTGTTTTGCCTTTGAATCTGGCCCCTCTTCCTCTGGCTGTCCTGTTTGCCCTGCACCTCTTCAGCTCAGGATGCACCGCATTAGCATTACAGATGGTTGGAGTTGAGCTGCCGTCAGGGAGCGTCTGCTCCATTGGCATTTTTCTAGCATTTAAAGCATGAAATGTGGCTCATGTTTAATCATAGACACCAATTACTGCTTTGAGAGTGTGTGTGTAGGGTGTGTGTGTGTGGGTTGGGCTGGGGTTTTTGTCATCAATAGGCCACAGTTTACATGAAACAGTTAAAAGGTTCAGTATTGATGTGGAGCTGCTTTACATCTCCAGTGAATCAGAGTTGCCCAGAGCGACGACATGGGTTAAAGGAACAACAAGGCAAAGGTATTTCCACAAACCATGTGGTTAATCATCATATTTATATTTCTGTACACTTTGGGTAAATGATGAATCTTGATTTGTGAAGGTCTCGGTCTCTAGTTCCCCTCCGTCTTTCTTTCTCTACACGTGTACAGTAGAACCCAAATACAGTGTGTAGTCTGTTATACATAAATATAACAAGTGAGAACAGAACTTAGTCTGCACAATATATATCATGATTTTACAGGCATATGTATTGTGTTTTCACGTTATATTTTACCATATACTGTATGCTATGTTTTATATATACATATATTGTATTTTAAAAAAACAACATGCTGTATATGTCAAAATACTAGACATAATACACGCTGCAGTACAGTCCATGTCTCAGCTGCAGTATATCTTTTCTCTTATTGAATCAGTTCAGTCCAAACCAAATAACTGCTGTGAATCTTTGATTTTAATGTTTTTTTCTCAGCAACTATAAAACCCATTTCCTCACAGTTGCCTGATCTTCTCTGTTTGTGTCTCTGTCTCAGGTTGCCGGGGAGCATAAGTATCATCCTGAATGTTTCAGCTGCCTGAGGTGCAGATCGTTCATCGGTGATGGAGACACGTACGCCCTGGTGGAGAGATCCAATCTTTACTGGTGAGCTAAACTCATAAACAGCACAATATTCCAGAAGCACTCAGTCAAATATAAAGACATTCAGAGCAGTTTCAATGGATGTATTTCAAATGTTCCTCACAGTGAAACTCAAGTGGAAAATCAAGTTAGTGCTGCTTGGCTTTCTGTAAATTTCCAGTAACTTTCACCAACTTGTTTTACTTAATTTTCCTTAATTATCTTTTCTGCCACAGGGTAATCCGACTAAAACCCCCTCTAAGGGCAACAAAGGCTACAAAGAAAAAGCCAAAGCTGCTTAAGACTATGAAAAAAACAGACATTTTCCACAGTTAATCTGGACTTCAGAGGGCTTTTTGTTCACAATGTGACAAAATGTGCTGACAGCTGATGTCAGATGCAGCGGAAAAACATGACAAGCACACTAGAATATTTGAATTGAATTTTTTATTTGTTGCATTTTTATTGGCTAATTTGAAAATATATTTTTAAAGGCAGATATGAACAGATCAACAGTCGGGAGACGGGGGGGGGGGGGGGGGGGGGGACAATAAACGCAACACATTTGAGACAATAAAAAAAAACAGAAATCTCTTTAGTATTTCTGCTGATTTAGTAGAGATGGGAGCGTCATTCCAGGCAGATATTGATCCAAACTTGAGCAGCCAGTCATTGACTAAGAACAGAAGAATACACTTCAGCCAATCAAATACAGGGGAGAGAAAGGAATCCCCAAAACCAAGTGTTTCACATAGGTAACAGTTTCCTGCTCAGATGTGTGCACAGATACGTCGGCCTGTGTTGAAAAGTGTTGGTCTGTGAGCTGCATCAGGTCAGAGGAGAGGAGGAAATCGACCCTCATGTAAATGACTTCTCTAGTTGTGGAGCGCAATAATGATGGAGTTATAATAAATAAATAAAATAAATGAAAAAAATAATTTAAAATATTAACATCAAGCAAAATGAGAATATTTTTGTGTAGAATGTGTCAAAAAAAATGTGGTTCATGCTAACTGTACATTTGATTAGAATTGAAATAAGAAAGTAGTGAAAATAAAATTACCCATCATGCATTTGTTAAAAACAAAGACTTTGATCATTGGGTTTAACCTATCCAGTACTCATCAGTACAAGCCTCAAGACATCCATGCAAATGTGAAGCTGTGGTGGGCCGCATGAAATGACGTGATGGGCCGGGTTTGTCCCACGTGCCTTGAGTTGAAACTCTCCAAATTAGTGTGTAGGGCATAAGAGGATACATGTCTTTAAGCTGTAAGCTGCATGTGTTTTGGTGACGTGTGTGCAAACAACAACATGTGTGTTCACTGTGGATGGTGGTATTATTGGATGGATTACTAATAAACATAATCTGATTAACTCCAGGAAGCAGTTAACGAGATAAACCTGTTAATTTGGACATTAATAACCTTTGTTTTCCCCCCTCTCTCTCCTCTGTTCTCTGCCTCCAGTGGTCACTGCTACTACCAGACCATCGTCTCACCAGTGCCGCTACCCGACTCGCCATGTTCCAAAATCCCTCACACCGTCACACTGGTGTCCATCCCGGCCTCGGCCGACGGCAACAACGGACGCAGGGGGCGTGGTTTTTCAGTGGCCATTGATCAACCGCTCAGTCCGACCAACTGCTTCAGCCCAGATCTCGGTCGCACCATCAGAGTCTCACAGTGAGTCTAACTTCTCTGTAGCTGTAGAGTGAGGAAGACGTGCCACGGAGGTGAAGGACAGGGACTCAAAGCTGGGGGAGGATTAAAAGTGGGAAGAGATTAAACTTAATAAAATTGTCAAAGTGAGGGAGAGTAATTTTACGTCCCGGTCGCTGTGATAAGCCGGAGAGAAAATGTTGAGCAGAAACTTCTTATTCAGGTGTTATCTGTCTCTTCTTCGTCCTCCAGAGTGGACCCCGACTGCATTAGTCCTGATGTGAAGAATTCCATTCATGTGGGAGATAGGATCCTGGAAATTAATGGAACTCCAGTTCACAACGTTCCTCTGGACGAGGTATTCATTGCTCATACTGTGCCTGGGTCATTGACGTCATGTACTCCATTGTACAACATTGAATGGAACTGCAGTTCATTGTTGTTCATCTCCTAAATTAGCTAATGATAGATTTTGAATTTATTTTCTTAATTTCAAACTCAATAATGTATTTTAAAAAGAAACATTTAATAGCATTTATAATTTATGGCACACTATTAAAATGCGAGCTAGCTAATGTTAGCTACAACAGTCCTGATGACACCAGAGCTAAGCTTAGCTAGCTTTAATTCTAAATCTACTCGGTGATCTGGTTAATGGTTTAGAGCAGTGGATGCCTTCACTTTAATGACTTTTTCTTCCTTAAGGGAAATTAAATATTTTATTATTCATGCTGGAGTGGCAGAGTTAAAAGCTGAATAAACTGATCTGAGCCCAGTGTTAAAACCTTCATCCATTACATTATTTATTTATTTTCTGTGAAACATCTCTGCTGTTCTAAATTTGGATTTCTCCTCCTCCTCTTCGTCATCCATCTTTTCTCCAGATCGACCTGCTGATCCAGGAGACGAGCCGGCTGCTGCAGCTCACCATCGAACACGACCCTCACAGTCACGGGCTGGAGGGAGGTCACTTAGAGACTGGAGGACAGGTGGACGGACCCCTGTCCCCCCCTCTGACTGATGGGCCCAGCCCCATCCTCCCCATCACCCAGGCCCCCAACCCTGACATCAGCAGCCTCAAGTCTCGCATCATCACGTAAGAAGCTAACCAACCATTCATGCCGACTCAGCCCATTTTCAAAGAAAGTTGCTAATTTCACCATGTCATCGATTGTTGAAGGCGGAGCTACAGCACTGAGAAGTCGCCAGACACCAGCAACGCCGCTTCACCCATCTCCCAGAGGAAAGACATAAACCGCTCAGAATCACTGCGTGTCGTTTCCAACAGAACACATCGCATCTTCCGTCCGTCTGACCTCATCCACGGAGAGGTGCTGGGAAAAGGCTGCTTTGGACAAGCCATCAAGGTAGAGACTCAGGTTATGTCATAACAGTGACGCCAGTCAGTCAGGTTTCTGGTTCCTTGACCTGTTTTTTCTTAGTATTTTTATATGATTTTCATCAGCTGCAGCCTGTCAATTTATAACAATTTGGAGACAGTAATGTTTTCAGACTTAGCTCATCTTTAAATTATTATTTAAATATAAATTATGTTTGATTCATATTCCATCTAATTGTTGAAGAAAAGCATCTGCCTCTATGTCTAATGTAACTATGACCTGTACTTATTGAGTGTTATGTATCACTGTGGTTGGTCACAGGTGACGCACAGGGAGACAGGGGAGGTGATGGTGATGAAGGAGTTGATTCGCTTTGACGATGAGACACAGAAAACCTTTTTAAAAGAGGTAAGTTAAAAAAATACAGATTAATAATCTTTGTCTCACTTCGAAGTTCCCCTGGTGTGGAAGTTCCTCATTCAGACAACCAGACCATAATAAATAATTCGGAAGTCAAACCCAGTGAAAATGAAAGAAAAAAACAGTTTAGAACTGGATATTTCTATTTTTAAATCCCCTTGAATGTTATCAAATTTAGATGTTGATCTTTACTTAGTTTAATATTCAATAAGAATAAGAATAAAAGGAAAGGTTTGGTCGTTTGTTGTTGTTGAAACCTGACAACAGTGCTATCTAGTGGAAATATAATGAATAAATTTTTACAAATGACCCATAATAACAAATAAAAGAAGAATTAAAAAAAAAAATTATTACTGAAGATGTCACCATGAAAACCATTTCTTTCTTCTTCATTAAAAATATTTTTCAGTAATTAAGATATTTATGGGTCATAAAATTCTCATCCTGTCATTTTGTCCATGTGATATTTTGTTTTCTGCTGCAGCTGCAGTAAATTTGACTTTTCTACTTAATATGTCCTGGCTGAGAACAAAATTAAAGTCAAAACAAGGAGGGGAGGGGATAAACAAACCCTGACCACAATAAGCCCGACTATACTGCCCCCCTGTGGCTGTTTGTTCAAAGTCAGCCTATGTCTCGTGTCATTAAGTTGATCTCATACAGATGTTGTTTAATGTTTGATGATGGAGGGTGAAAATATGACTATGAAATAGTACATGATAATTTGTCTATATTTCTGTGTTCCGTCTCCTCAGGTGAAGGTCATGCGTTGCCTGGATCATCCTAATGTGCTCAAGTTCATTGGAGTCCTGTACAAAGACAAGAGACTGAACTTCATCGCAGAGTACATCAAAGGAGGAACTCTGAGGGAGATCATCAAAAAGATGGTGAGAGTGAGGAGCGTCTGTCTGGTTCAGTCCCGCTGACTGAACAACATACACGTGAAAAAAAAAACATGTTCTTTTACTAGACAATAAACTAAATAAGAGAGAATTTTATGAACAAACGTTGAGGAAATTCACCTACAGCTCAGATGTTTGGTAATCAAATAAATAAACAAAAAAAAAGAATAATGTTACAAAAGTAGGGGGCAGGGCCCCTAAGGAGCACAGAGCTGTTGCAACACTGCAGGGCAAATTATTATTATTATTATTTGTGCTCCCCACTCTGCAGTGTTTATATTCATATTTCTTTCCTGAAGAGTAAGTAGAATAAAATACAAAAGACAGAGTATATAGAATAAATATAATCAATTGTTAAATATAATCAACATTTTCCATTTCCAGTACAGTTTTTGGTTTCCCGAAGTCCTGGATAATTGACTTAGATTTTTTCTCTCTCTCTCTCCTTCACAGGACAGCAATTATCCCTGGAACCAACGAGTCAGTTTTGCCAAGGACATAGCTGCAGGGATGGTGAGTTCAGAGCAGAAATATCTACATTGTGGAGCTCACTCCAAGGCCCAAAAAGAAAAAAAGAAACTCCCCCTTTTCCCCAGTCTCCAGAGAGACTACATCACATTTAAAAACCCAATGATTTAGAAAAAAAAGAAAAGAAAAACTGAGGTCTTGACCTGAAAGTGTTTTTAATTTAGTGCCATGTCTTCATACATTACATACAGAATGGTGTCACGTGAGTTCACGTTTTTTAACATTTTCAGTTTCTAATCTTGTAAATCTAGTTCTCACAGAGCTCATAATGTGCACAGTGTTTTCCAAATCACTCCATGAATTCCTGCAGGATTAGACCAGGGTTTCCCAGTGTTTTTCCCTGATATGAGAACAATGATGAATGTGTCACATGACTGGGTCATTGTACTTACTTCACCGGCTACTAAAGATAACACAAGGCTCAGTTGTTCAGCTGTTGGCACAAGACTGAGAAAATCACTGCAAACTTTTTTTGTTGTTTTTCTTTGTTTTGTTTTTTTTTTTAACTCTCCAATTTTTTTTTCCCCTTGTGTTTCTCCCAGTCGTATCTGCATTCCATGAACATAATCCACCGGGACTTGAACTCACACAACTGTCTAGTCCGAGAGGTAAGAACACGTACAGTCCTGTCAGTGTGTGTGTGTGTGAGAGAGACAGAGAGCAAGAGAGAGAGAGAGAGATACCTGTGCTTGTACAGTATGATTTCATTAAGGATCTAGAACAGCCTCCCATTCTTAGCCCATGCAATTCACTATGTATATATGCATAACTACACAGTCTATATAGTACACAGCATTTTGTCATGTCTAGAAATGCATCACATAGGCCACACAGTCACCCTGTTTAAAATGAAAATTTTCTTTCCTCTGACAACCATAGAATTTATTTTTAAATACTGTGGAGAGCAGCATAGTGGTAGGGAGGGGGGAAAAAACGTGGAATTCTCTTTTTCAAAAAGCAAGTGGTGCTTTATTAGGAAATATGGGGCTTGACTTTCTATTGACCATATGCTCAGTACTTATATAGTACAATGTATAGTATTTATGTACAGTTTGAAAAAATCAGAATATAAACTGCAGATCTATTCATGAAATATGGTAATTAAATTCTACACATTTTTCCACAACGTATCTGTGTTTACTGAAACAATGAGGAAGTGAAGACTGACTGGGTGATTCCCTGTGTGCAGGACAACACAGTGGTGGTGGCAGACTTCGGACTGGCCCGGCTCATGATCGATGACAAGCACGAGGAGCTGTCACAGGGCAAACTGGCCGGGCTGAAGAGACCGGATCGCAGGAAGAGGTACACGGTGGTGGGAAACCCTTACTGGATGGCTCCGGAGATGATCCACGGTACGAGCTGCTGATGTTCAGCGATACCAACAGACATCTCTGCTGCCGTATGTCTGTTACTGACTGTGCTGTTTGATGTTTTAGGGAAGAGCTACGACGAGAGAGTAGACATCTTCTCCTTTGGCATCATGCTCTGTGAGGTGAGTGTTTTCAGCAGATAGTTAATATATCAGGATGAGTTTCAAGATTTCATAAAATTGTGAACCACACTTCTTTGCTTTAGCACAAAAAAGTCTTGCCTGACACTAAAGCTTTAAATCTAACTGAATTCTTGAATGATTAGATTTAACTTAAAAAACGGACTTTTATATTAATTAAATTATTTTTTCATGTTAAGTACACTCTCTCAGTGTTTTTCGTGGTTTTACATTTCCTTATATTTTAAGAGCCTTAAATCTTTGGGGGAGGGGGCTTCATGTTGTGGGTCAGTTCTTTTTCCATCTATAGTCTGGTTCTTTTACACACGAAGCACCAGATGAACTAGAAACTGAGCAGGAACTATGGAGCACGAGTCATGTGGGTTCACAGATGGTCCTATAGTTTTACAATTCAATCAATTCATTTTCTTGCTTCCTTCAGATCATTGGCAGAGTGAATGCAGACCCAGACTATCTCCCCCGGGCCATGGACTTTGGACTGAATGTGTCTGGCTTCCTGGAGCACTATTGTCCTCCAGATTGTCCTCCTGCCTTCTTCCCTGTGGCTGCTGTGTGCTGTGACCTGGACGCAGACAAACGGTCAGTCATCTTTAAAAGAATTATCCTTAAACACACTGTTTCTGGATGTAAAGAAATACTTTAAATATCATTTACATTTTTTTACTACCAGTCAATAAAAATATGATGTTCCTGTTTTCTTTACCCACAGCCCTGCTTTCACTAAGCTGGAGGAGTGGCTGGAGAACCTGAAGATGCACTTGGACATCGCTCTGCCCCTGATGTCTGAGCTGGACATGTTGCACAAAGCATTCTGGGAAAACCACAGCATGCTGCGTGCTGAAAACGGCCTGCACACACACCCTGAGCAGCCAGAGTAGGGCCCACTGCAACAAAAAACGCTGGGAGTGAGAGAACGCTCCAGCGAGACAGCGCCCCCTGTGTCAGGTGGTGCAGTATTCATGCCCCTCAATGTTTGAACCAATGAACTCAGGCTGAATCCAGGAAAAAGTGGAAACGAAAAGCCAGAGTTTTTAACTATAACAGTATTTTTTCTGCAATCACAGCTTGAATGCAAAAATGAATTGCAACAAAACCAACCTATAACTATGATTCTAGAATCATTTCCGTTTAATAATACCTGATGAGGAGCTCACACACTACGTTAAGTTGTTTCTCTCTAAGTCTTAACCTCATTAGTTTGGTTCTAAATGTGAATTACTACAAATACTAAACCAGTTCAGTTCAGTCGTGTGCACTGAGCTCAGATCCCGACCTGTGTCGGCATGTTCAGGTCAGACACTTTTCCAGCTTTAAATAGCTCAATGTACAGTGCATGGGTGTAAATACTGCTGTCAGGTCACGTCCTGCTTCCTGTGACCTCAGACCTCCTCACGTCTGTATCGCTGCTCCTCCCACCTCCACCTCCACCTCCCTCCTCTAACGTGTAGCACTGGCTCAAGGTACGCATACTGTAATAGCTGCTCATAACTTTGGTACTTTGTCTCTCCAGCTTCTAGAACTGTCGGCGTAAATCACGTAAGCCCAGTGCTGTAATAGTATCACTGTACATAGTCGGCATCGTTGTAAATGTTTTAAATAGTGTAAAATGTACAGACATATTTTATATACTGAGGTTTGGTTGCCATGTTTTGGCTGTGGAACTGAAATCAAGCAGAGCCATAATTGGACTGCAGTTCTGAAGGGCAGACCACTGACGGTGGCGGCTACGGAATTTTACTGTAGCACTAAAGATTTGAGGAACAGCGTCAACATAAAGCACTGTAAAATCACACTTCACAGAAACGATCAGCCCAGCATTTCCAGGTCATGTTAAGTCAGACTACTGACATGACAGTTTAGGGTAACAGACTTGTTCCTAGTAAAGTCACTCATCTCATCACTCGACTGTACTTCAGATGTTTGACCCACTGTTTGTTTACATGTAAATGCTGTACCTGTAAATACCACTGTATAGACAGTAAACATGTCTGTCCTCACATTCTTCTGTGTGCGTTGCATAAATACGCGCAATTCCTTAAAAGTAATCTCTTCCACCGGTCCTCATTTCTGTCTCCCTCTCTTCCTCTTTCTGTCTTGCACCTTTCTGATGTAAGATTTTCTGCCTTTCATCCAGTTTTTTAACACTGTTGTTTTTACAAGTCGCATGGTTAATGAACTTGGTAGATGAATCAAGCTTCTGGATCGAGCTTTCTTTAGCTCGAAAATCTTGTAGTTTTGAATAACAAAACAGAGAAAATGTGGTGAGAGAAAGACAGACTAAGAGGAAACGGGGATTAAAATGAAGCATTTGTTTATATACGTATACGGTGTATATTCACTGAAACCCTTTTGTACAGATTTAAGTACTTTTATTTGCACTATATTGCTATATATATTTACTAAATGGCTACCTGAAGCCATGTTTGTTAATTTCCTCTCTCGGGCTACTTGTGATAAGGAAATACATTATGTCGGTTCAGGTTGATATACATATGAATGCAAGACACTGAAAGAGCCTTTCAATTTAAAAATGAGATCTGGAAAATCCATCCTCTTGATAGCATCCTGCCTCATTTGGGCATTCATTTTCTTCGTGCATGGTTGAAAAACGAATGTTGCACAGGTTGAAATCTGTGCAAAACAGGAGTAATTTTCATTATTCCACTCACGAATTCTCCCAGAAAACAGGGTTTTTCTTCATCCTTTTGCCACCAAGAGGATGTGATGTCCCAGATCTGCCTGCTGCCTACAGACTGGTCCTTTGTGAAAGATGTACTCTGTTGTTATTGACTGCTTGATTTCACATGCGATGCCCCGGAGGCTTCAACCACGGCTGGCCTCTCTGATAATAGAGCACTTATCCCAGCTTGTCTCACCTCTCTTTCACTTCTTCCTCACTCTCCTTTGGCTCAGGGCCGTATCTTTCTGGAGCTTACTTCACTGTTTGTTTAATGCAGCAGCTTAATTGTGAGACTAAGCATGCAAACCTACTACTGTCAAAGCCGCTTCTGTGAAACTGTCCCCTCCTGGTGGACGCGTTCTTTCCGTGGGCATGTGCTGTGAACGAGTCGCTCTGTCACTTTTCTGTCTCCACTCCTGTCCAGCATGTTTTCTTGTGTCTGTCTGTGAGGATGGTGAGTCAATGAGAATGTCTTTGAAAAAGGATCGTTACCTCTGAACAATGCCGTGCCTTTGTTGTAAGCTAGCCTTGCCAACGATTCGGAAAAAAAAAATCATGAACTGATTCCCTTTTTTAGTGCATCATCAGTGCAAACCTGTGGATTAAATACCGTTGATGATACAGTGTTGTTTGGGTTTTCATCATGTTCTGTCATATTTAGATTTCACACGACTCCATGGTCAACTTTTCATATTTTAATTTTTTTGTTTGTTTGTTTTTTTTTACCCAAGCTGTGAAAACTATTCTGCACTTTATTCCTGAACATGAACATTTAGACTCTGTGGAAGTGACTGTTTTTTGCCCTTTTGTCATAGCTAAAAATAAAACTGTTGCTTCTTAAACAAACCATGGAGTTTTTCCTCCTTTTTTATATGGCTTAAATCATGTGTCAAACTCAAGACCCGGGGGCCAAATGTGGCCTGCCAAGCCGTTTTGTGTGGCCCACAAGAGCTTAAAAAGTATTTAGTAAAGTCCATGCAGCAGAGTTTCTTAACCAAAGAGATTAAAAGTTTTTATAATCAATGAAATAATAAGAAATTGCAGAAACATGTTTTAGTCTGTTATGGAGTGGTTACAAAAATAAAACATCTTTTAGACTCTATTCTGTTTGTATCAGAGTCTGAATGACCTATTATTTTAAAATATTGCCAGATTATCTTTAAATAAAGAAAGTAAATTGATATGGTGGATTCTTTGAATGAAGTAAATTAGTAAAAATTAAGTACTTTTTTTTCACTGTGTCCCACTGTGGCCCAGTACCAAATGACCTATGGACTAGTGCTGGTCCAGAGTTTGACAATGAACGATTCTTTTAATACCAATGGCAGAGATGAATAATATTTTTGGAAATACGGTGTGTAAAACATGAGATTTTGTATAATTTAATTTAGAAATACTTTTAACTTAATCGAAAACAGTAATTTTGTCCATAGTTCGATTTTTTCTGCAATACGAGTTTTTATCGTGTTACAGGGAGAGAAACAAGAGTCTAGTTTTTGAAATACATTTACCAGCAGAGGTCGCAGTTTACCTTTGGTTTTACCTTTGCTTTTTCTCCATCAGAAATTTCATTATACACTATAAATCAATTAAGTCAATATGCAGTTGTTTAATTTACTTAGATACATATACAATGTTATCTTTAAGCGGTGCATATAACTACAAAACCGCAGGATTTAAATATTGTATTCAATTAATGAATGAATTAAAAGGACATTGCTTTCCGGTATTGATAAGTTTCTATCATTTATTTATTTACCTTTTCATTAAGTTGAGTGTTGCAGTGTTTGTTTGTCTTTTTCTTTGTTTATTCTCGCACGTGACGCCTGTCGCATCACAACCACGTGTGATTGTTTTCATTTGGACAGCAGCTGCAGCGGTGGGTGTCTCTGACGTCACCAACCCGTGACAGCGCGTAAATTCGAGTTGCCAAGTTGTACGATTCTCCGCCCAAATAAGAAGTCTCACCTCACATGAACCTAAGACGAGAATGGTTAAATGCGACACTTGTTTGGGTTCGACTGGTGAAAAAAAATTGTCTTAAAGGGTGAGCATTTAGCACTCTTACTTACTTAAAATCTTATAGTTTGATCAAAACAATTTCACCTTGAAAGTTGCAGAACTCCAGTTTGAGAAGAAAGATTAACCCCTCTATTTAAAAAACAAAACAAAAAAAAAAAACACACACGCCACACATTCAGCCAGTCACCAACCAGCTGCAGTGATAATAAGGCTAGTGGGGTTAATATAGCACACAGCTCAAAAAACTGTGCAGCTGTACACCTCAACACCTCAACCCCTGAGCCTGTTGCTGTGCATGTCCTTAAAAAATCTAGAAATGTTTAATTCTTTCCATAAAGTTTTTTTAATGGGTGCACTTCCATGACGTGGTTCTTTTCCACATTATGCAAGTTTTGCTTAGTAAACAGAAGTGACGTCAATGCAGCGATATGAGAAAAAATATATAAACTATGCAATTTGAAATTCAAGAGGACCTTAAACAAATACAGCGACACTTCATAGTCATTATTTTAACTCAACTATAAGTCAGGCCCTTGACCAAAGCGTAGCAATTTATATAGTTTTTAAAGGAGAGCTTGGTAAACGTATATCAGACTTGGCAACCCAGTCTTTACTTGAACCACGACATGCACGCGGGCGCATTCACAGAGAAGGGGGGGACGGGTTTGTCCGGTCTAACATTTCAAGCATTCTGTCGTTTCACTGCAGTTGTGTTCAGGCTGAGAGCAGTATCACGTTTGGAGGGAAAAACAGAAGGAGCTGCAGACAGGATTTTGTGCTCACACTGCAACTTTCAACGATGGAAAATTCGTCCAGTAACAACCGATTTCGATCCGCAGTGTTCAACCACGGTGAGTGTGTCTCGTGTGTTCCCCAGATGCTGCTGATATCTGTATTGAATTACTCTCTTGTGGACTGGTTGGCTGGCTGACTGACTGGCTGACTGACTTACTTACTGACTTCCATGTAAACGTGCTAAGTATTAGTCAGGTTGAAGAGATGTAGAATAAGAATGAACGCTGTGTTGTGTTTAAAGGTTTTTAAACACGCGCTGACTGCTCTCAGTTCAGCTGGATGAAATTCCGTCCACTGCTCCACACACGGGACAGAAGAACTGCACACTGTAATTCTGCAGTTATGCAAGAGTGATATGATGAGTGGCCACACTCTACCATTGCTGTAGTTGGAAACAGATACATTACATATAGATATACTGTAGCTATATGTGTATATACTGTATATTTACCTATATATCTAGACGAAGAAGAAGCTCTGAGCTCTGTGAGGATACATTTTGGGACACTCCTCTGTTCATTGAAGGGCTGTAATATTAAGCTTACACATTAGCTGCCATTCCGATAGCTGACAAGTGCAGAGGTTTTTGTCAAAATGCACTGTGTTCGCTTTGGTGACAGCTATTGGTAGAAATTGGTATTTTTCACAACACTAGCTTTTACACTGTTTTCATCAGGTGCGATGCTTCTCTGTTAAGGCCGCCGTGTTGGATCACAGTAAACAAACTAAATATTTAATTTAATTTAATTTATTATTAATTTAATTTATTATTAATTTAATTTATTATTAATTTAATTTATTATTAATTTAATTTAAATTTAATTTCTTCCAAATAGTCAATAGTTAGGTGATATCTTACAACAAGAACGTCACCACTTCACCACGTGGTGTTGCTAAATCCTTCTCACTGTACCTTTAAAATCAGTTCTATTTCATCTTTTCTAACATGAAATTGTTGTGGAGTCTTGGCCCTTTGTTCACAGTACAATGAACGTCTTTGGTTTGTCTATAAAATGCAGCCCTGCTAATGATACAGGAATACAGTGAATTCACTCCACCAAGACACAGTACAGTGGGGTGGGGGGGTTTAAGATTTGCTGCATTTTGCCAGTATGGTAGAGAGTCTGGGTTGCACTGAAACATCTGGTTTGTTAAACTCCTGCCTGTGGTGTAAACAGAGCGAGGGTGTGTTGGAGATGGAGACAGAATGGAGAAAGTGGGAGGTAACCAGTGCACTTGCCCAATGTCTGCAGTGCAGAAAGCAGAAAACAATAGTGCTGAGTTTTCATTTCAGTTCAAGGGTGATGTTTTTGAAGATTAATCGGATTCCTTTTTTTTAACCTATGTGGCTGAGTGATGCTCACTGTATATTCAACAATCTCGATTAACTTAGAATTCTAGATTCATTAATCGTGATTAATTACGGTTCATTATGACCATGATACATAATGAATAATTGAGATTTACCCACAGCTATCCAGTCATAATCAGATTAAAATTTGTAACCATTTAACAGCACCAGTTAAAAGACAACAAAATACTTTAGTTCTTTATGTATTCATTTTTTGCTTAAGCAGCTTGGCCAAAGATTTACCTTTAGCATTTTACAGTAGTCCATTCTATTCGGGCTCCTTAGATTTTACATCCTGGTGTTAAGTTCAAATGTTAGTTCTGCCATGTTTAACCTCTTTTTTTCACCCACTGAATAAGCCTTTTCTGCCTGAGACACAGTATCTTTGCAGTTCTGGTGTACATCAGAGGGTTTACTAATGTTCCATCTCGACACTGACAATGAAGTAGCTCATTAAATCTCTCACATACAGCCTGCTTTTGAACTGTAGATGGAACCAGACCTACTTTTTTCCCAAGCCCATAACCCACTTATCCAGTACAGCAAAATCGGTCCATGGCATCAGTCACTCTAATAGCAAAGTCTCCCTCAGGAAGACCGCTAGCAGGAAAGTCAGTGGTGAGGATGGGTGGCACAGTCAGCAGTGGATAACATTCCTCAGGGAAAGCCTGGTGGAGGGACACGAGCAGCCTCGCTGCTGTCTGTGGCCGCACTGACAGCATCACCGGTGCCACATTTAGGTCAGGAAATGATCTGCAAGAAAAATTGAATGTAGCGAAGCGAGTAGTCGTTATGGTGGAGCTCAAGAATTTGATGTTGATAACATGGTGAGCATGTCTGTAATCAGATATTTTCAGCTCCAAATTTGCAGCCTTATTTGCAGAGTGGAGGTGGAGGATGTATACATTTCACGTTCATTTGTTTGCTTTGTCAACAGTGTGCACGAGTGTATTTGCATGTCATCCTGCCAAAGAATTTTTGCTAAAAATGAGAGCTAGCCGCTATACTTACTGAGGCTGGTTCTGCAGTATTTGAGCACACAAACATTTTACAGTCAGGGTGAATACTACTACTACTACTTTTTCTTCTATATTAAATGTTTACATGTGGACATTAGTGTCATATTTTCTCTCACAAAGGGACAAAAAGCTGGTTTTGATCCTGTAGCCCCACCCTTAATCCCAGGGGCTTCAACGTTTCCATTCAGGTGACCCCCAGACTAATGGAGAGATAGAGTAGGGACCCCTGACTATGCATTTTGTTTTATTTAAAAATGTGGGGCTTTTTAAATTTAAAACTAGGCTAAGTGACATGTTCAAATGCACCTTGTTTTTTACTGTTGTAAAACTGTTTGCAACAACCAATTATTTGTACTTTTAATTAATTTAATTTAATCAGACAACTTGCTGATTCTTACTAATTAACCTGTGACTGTGTTGTTGACAAGTCATTCGATCTTGTAATGTCCTTAACTTGAATGAAACCAGAACAACAATAAAATAAAATATTACAATCATTATAAGTCAGTCATTGATTACTGAGACTAATGTCTGAAATGCATTGTCGGGGAACTCTGGGTATACAGTTAGTCTTCTCATCTTCCTGATGTTTGTGAGATTCATGTTGTCACGTCTGTTTCTTTTTCATGTGCCTTCTCTGACGTGGGGTTTAAAATCGCTGCGGCCAATCGATAATCCTTCGCTGACCAGACGATGAGGTAAGAGACCAGACTTTTCCTCCCTGCTGCTGCCGAAACATAAAGTCAGTCATCTGTGAAGTGAGATTCTGCCTCGATTATCTCACCAAAATGAGCTCTTTGTGGTTTGATGATGTCAGCCCTTTTGATTCCTCGTACCCTCAGCTACCGATGTTGGTTTTTGCTGCTGTTCCATCGAAAACCCGTGGGTTCATTAGTCTTAAGAGTGAATGTAATTCACACTTGGATATTTTATGTATGAAAGCCTTGTTTCCATTCTCTCAGTGTTTAAACAGAGTACTTTAAATACTCTCAGATTTATATCTTCCGCTGTGCTTCGGGGTTGTACTTGACACCATCAGAGAAGATGTGTGAGAAAAGGTGTGTTCACAGCCTAGATTTTCCTGTTCTTTGTCTCGCATATGACAACTGAGAATTAGATGTGTGTGCATCAGCTTTGTTTGTGAAACTGCTGCTTTTGTCTGGATTTCACTTCTTCTCTCTTCATAAAAGAAGTCTGTTTCTGACTTTGGTTGAGTTCCAACATCCTTCTACAGAATCAGCAGCTTCCCCTGAAGTCTGCTGCAGGTCCAGAGTCGCGGTGGACATCCAGTTTTTTTACAGTAGCCAGCAGCCTGTCACCTGTGTGTCAAAACTGCCTCCCCCCTCGCTCTCACCCCTGCTGACTGCTTCTCTTCTCAATGTCACTGTTTGCATCCCAGAAACCCTGCAGCTGTGTTTAACCCGGTCGAGTGGGGATGAAAAGGGGGCGTGTTTGTTTTCAAGCCCAAACAGTTCACAGACGGGCAGAGAGGAGTGAATCTGTATGGGTGTAACAGACCCCGGTTCCTTCCTCAGCTGCATTCCAAGACTATGTGACACGGCTGTAGTGTAGTGTGTTGTGTGTCCAGCCGCAGGGAACACCTTTTCACCAAACTATCATCTGTCAACAACCCCATGGCTGCAGCTTCTGCTGCTGCTGTTGCACCGACAGCCTCAGCCTCAGTCAGTTGGCAGCAGATCCGCCCACAAAAGTTTGTGATTCACATGAAGACACAATGTACTGTACTCTCCTCTCAAAGCCACTCTTCAGGCCAGGTTGACATTACTAAAGTGCCCTGCCCTTGGTTTACACCCCATGGCTGCAAACCACGTAGCACTACTTTGGGGTGTGGTGAAGCCAGAGGGTGGTTGTGGCTTCCTTTGTTAGCCTTAAAATGCCACATAACCTCAGACTTGGGCCGACGTCACTGTTCCTGGGCAGTGTCAGCTCATGACAGGGAAGCACTCCAGAGCGGGCGCTTGTCTATCCTGAGAAGGTTGTCTTCACCACGGAGCATTCCTCTGTGGCTTTTACTCAACCGGCCATTAGCTTCCTGTGCCTTCAATTGGTGCCCTGCTCTGCAGTCTGAGGAAAGGCAGTCTATACTTGGACTTTATTAGCCTATTAGAGAGTTCGCTGCTGCATTGGTTGCTGGATTTCCCCTCTTCCCAGTTTTCCCCTGTAGCCAGTTCTGTTTTTCTCATTTGTCGTCACTCCTGCCATGTGCACTTCACTTTAAAGTACTTTAAAAACTGGAATGGCAGAATGTGCAGATTTGCTGAGCCACGCCCGTCTGTGCACTGATTGACACATCAAACGTCATTACACTGGGGGAAGTGACAAATGTGAGGCATGATATATGACATTTTCTTACCAGCTTGGTAATTCAATCGTCAGGCAACCTGTTCCCTGTTAGATGCAGGAGAATCTATGTAAATCAAAGCAGTTTCTTCTTGCTTCACACAGCTCACATCCATAGATAATATATAGGAACTGGATGGTTGTCACCAGCAGGCTGAAACTGCCTCAGTCAGCTGAAATACGTTTGGCTTTGGTTTTCGAAAAGTTTGGAACGAAGGCAGATTCTGTCATGATTTAATTTTGAGCGCAGTAATCATTTAGTCATCAGTCAAACATTAGCTGCAGTTCTACTGCTGTAGAATATGATGTCATTTATTGACAATGATTACATGTGAATGGTAAAAGAATCATGGCTTTAAATCTTACTTGTTGCTCTGTGATAGTGGCCCTGGTGAATTGTCAGTGAACATCACCGATATATGTGATTATTATATATAAAAATAATCTCATATTTCAGAACATGAAAAAAGAAGACCTGCAACTCTGTGTTGACAGGAAAAAGATTACAGATGTTATAAACTTGGATGGAAGCAGCGTAGTTCTCAAAACCAGCCCAGCCTTTAATGGCCTCACCCTGCAGCTGCAGCCTGCAACACAAGTAGCTCAACATCAGGTTTGCCACCTACTCCATTATCTTAATACTCCACAGACAACAATGATGGTCCACAGCAATAGAGGTTGACTCGTCAGTCATCAGTGGAACCTGACCCTTCACTGATGTGTGGGCAGGGTGGTGACAGTAACACTGAGGTGGGGTTAGAGTCTGCGTGCTTGGCTATGACAGGCCGTCCTCTGGGCTGTTTTTACAGTGTGATGTGAGTGGGAACAACCAGGTTAGGGAGCCGACAGGTGACACTTGACATATTAGGAGGTGAGGGGAAGATCAACAATAAGGAGGTGCTGAAGGATGTGTTTGTGTATTAACAGGCTTACAGTCATGTGCGTTGTTGTTTAACAGTCAGTTTTTGCAGGTGAGCCACGGTATAGGACAAGCACAGCTTTTATTTGGAAATTTTAGAGTTTTCTTGGTTTAACTGTATGGAGTTTGTATGTTGTGTGTAATCTACGTGGCTGTTTTTTCTCCAGAAACTGCAGTTTTCTCCAACAGTCAATAATTATTGTCTGGACAGTTTTTGTAATCTGTAGAAGCAAAAATAATTTAAAAGGTGTGACCAAATCCAAAGTAGGTCAGTAGTCCACCACTGGGCTGAGAAATAGAGACAGAAGTGTCAAAAATCATTTACACCAGGTTTAGAAATGAATACTCTTTGCAATAGCTGGGAAGTTTCTGTTGTTGTTCCAGGTTATACAGCACATTGTACTCTCACCTCTGCAGTATGGAGGTCAAGTAGAACAATATTGACTCTCTTTGAATGAACTTGGTGAATGAATTGGTCATTTGTTTCATTTTACTGTGT